AAAGGCACAGCACTGAGGCCAGTCAAAAAGTTGGCAACCCAATTCCAGCCATCAGGAATAGTTCTGCTGGGAGCCATTTATGCACAAGAAAGCGGGAAATGAAAAACAGCCAAAATCAATCCTTTGGATGTACACCCAGCTAAGAGGCGCCCAGCCCCTGGATTCTTGGGCAGAGTAGACACATTTCCAGGATCAACACCGGTCACAGTCATGAATATTTTTCTCACTGGGAGGTAAAACAGTTATTATAAGAGCAGACCGAGTCCTCCAAAGCCTGTGGAAGAGGAACTATGTTTTGCATGAACTGTTTCTGCAAGAATGTGTTTTTAAGCATTTTCACAAAACGAAACGCATTTCCAAAAAAAAGTTAATTTGGAAAGGACATGGAACATATGACACAGAAATAACAGCCGCTGCACCAGATGTTGGACAAAAACAAGGTACCCGAGAAAGAATTTGCAAGGCTTGATCTCATCACAAACCGGACACGGATCTGTCCCGGCAGCTCCAAATCACAAATACTGCGGAACCCAAGACGCTTACCAGCCCGTCGCAGGTGCTGAGTGCAGCCAATCCACGTTCCCGTTCCTCATTCTGAACCGACCCAATCATGTGGCAAGAGTTCTGCCCGTCAGCCCAGATCTTGGCATGAGCTATGCCTCCGTATCGCCTCTCGCTAACAAACCCGGGAGCCAGGAGGTGGCCGTTCAGGCGCAGGCGGAAGCTCAGCTGACGTCCCTGGTGGCGCAGCTGGTAGAAGGACCGCAGGGAGTTCTGAGAGGAGGTGGCCCTTTTGTAGAGGAAGCGGTGGGACAGGTTGTAGGAGAGAAAGAATCCCCTCTCGGACACCTTGACCGGGTAGACAATATCGTAGTCAGACTCTGCGGTGTGACTGGATCCTGCACCTGCGGGGGGGGGGGAGATGTCAGAATTATCCGCCTGAAAGAGAAAGCGAGGAGGGCCCTTTCCAGGGGCATTCTGCACCTTGCCTGATGGGGAGAGGAAGGCACGAACACCCCCCCACACACACCCACTCCCCGACCTCAATCCAAGAGCCCCTCAGCGCCAAGCAGTGGGAAGTCCTGTGAACAAGCAGAAAAGACACGGCCGTCCCAACTTAGATCAGGACCCTAAATGCAAACGGGACTTTGAAAACGGCTTGGGGGTGGGGGCTGATCTTGCTCCACGCCACTTGCAGGGCCACGTCGAAAGTTTTGAAGGTTTTAGAGCCAAAGATCCCCGAGAGCCACCGACTGGAGAAAAGAGAATGAGACGGGAGCACTCCAGCAGAGCCTTCCCGGGGGGGCCGCCTCCTCCTCTGCTCCTGGAGTAAAGGGGGTCCTCATCCCTGGCAGTGGAGGCCACCCCCTTCCCCAAGAGGTGCAGGCTCACCCCATCCTTTCCGGCGCCAGGTGTGCCTTTCCTTTTCAGAGCCTGCTCCCTCGAGCCGGGCAAGGTGGGCACCCCCTATAAGGGGTGGTGGCACTGGGCGCCCCCCACCGTCCTGACCCTCACCCCCCACACACACCCCCGACTGCAAGGGCAGACTTGCCCCCTCCCCCAGTTCCTTCCGTGGGGCTAGCTGAGGTGGGGGGGGGGAGGCGGGTCTGTGATGCGCCGGGCCTCTTCGTCTTCTTCTCCCTCCTCCGGCGCCCGAGGAAGGGGCTCCTTCGGCTGCCGGCACCATCCCCCCCCCC